ACCTCAAGCCCAACCTTACCCTTAGTCGCCTCTTACGACATGCCTGGTAGGGTAGAGTATCACTATTCTTTGATTCCCGTGAGGGCCCCGGTGACACACGGGCGTGTATATATATATATATATATATATATATATATATATATATATATATATATATATATGTATGTATAAAACGTTGCGGTGAGCAATGACCAGTGGATGAGGCTGACACCCAATACTCAATGGAATGACAAACGTACGTGGTAGGTTTAGGTTTAGACAACGGATCAACATTATAGCACAAGGGTAGTAACCCATAAGTGCTTCGTCCTTCTTCTAACTCAAGCATGAGTCCGAAGCATCTTAGCGAAGTGCACGAACTCAGTAGCATCGGCGAGGATTCTGAAATACTTGGGTAGATTTTTAACTTCAAATTTTTGCCCGGGCAGCGCCGTTATGCCACTCTTTTTCGATTTCCAACTGCCAAGGGATATTTCTACTTGCGAAACAATACACACGATCTTCCGATCTTATCACCCATAGACCAGGGAAAATTACTAGGAGTCCACGTGAAAAAAATCATAGCCTTCACTGGGGCTTAAACCCAGGACCTCCAGCACTCGAGGATGACGCCATGATTTATGTTAATTATTTAGTACGAGGTAATTTTTACTAGTCCTGTCAAATATCAAAATCTGCTGAGGCTGCTGAAGATGGGAAACGCTGATAAGGTTATCCAGAATACTGTGTATCTCTCTTTCTTGTTGTACCCCACAAGGACATCACACAAACGATAAACACCCGGTGACACAAAGTGCCACCATGCGGATCAGAATCACCCGTAGCGAGGTCCCGGAAACCCCTTTCAGCCGTTAGGTTATATTTATTGCCCGGCTTTATTCAGGGTCCCCGGCAAAAGCCAGGGTGAGGCTTCAAATAACGAAAAATTGCATCCCACATGGGACGACTTACTTCGATAAGAATACTGCGATGTCGGTTTTCGACTCAGCTTAACGTAAACATAAGTCAAATAGCATTCACCATCCAGGACTTAAGTGTATCAAATATTAAACATAGTTCATATGAAGAACTTACTTTAGACCAGCGGTTTTCAACCCTTTCCAAGTGGCGCCCCATTGAATATATGACCAGTTCCCACCTTCCCTACCACCACCACCCCTGCAACTTAATCTTTAATTACATTTACACATTATCCTATTAATTAGATTTGTAAAGATAGATGTTCAAACTTCTTTTTAAAAGAAGAGACCTTGGCCTATTTTATTTATTTTAAAAAAAAAGTTCAAGAATGCGTTTATCAATAATTAAACTAAAAAAAAAAAAAAAACGATAACAGATTATTTCAATTACGAATGCACTCGGTTTCAAAGCTTTGCTTGACTCGTCGCTCCCCTTTCCTTTTAAAACTTTCTTGCGCCCCTATAGGGAGCTCTCTTAAGGTTAAAACTATTGCTTTAGATGTAAAAAATTATAAGTTTCCGTAGCATTCAGATAGCAAACACACTTTAGGATCAAGTGTTTGTAACATTTAGTATAGGTCAGATAACAAACTTAAGGACCTAATTGTTAATTGTTATTAAATATAAATCAGGTTTTTACATTACACTCATGCATTTACAGCATTACCTATAGATCCAATTAAACACAAACGCACACTCAAACCCACACGCACAAACTCAAGAACTTATTGTTAATTGTTATTAAACATAAATCAGATATATACATTACTCATGCATTTACAATATTACCTATAAATCAAATGTACCACACACACACACGCACAAACATACCCACACACTTTAGTTCTAACTGTTAATTGTTATTAAACATAAATTATATATATATTTGTGCATATATGCGTATATATATGTGTGTATTTGATCTGTATATAAATATATGCATGAGTATATATATATATATATGAGTGTATTTATATATATATATATAAAATACACTCATGCATTTACATTGTTACCTACAGATCAAATAAACACACACACACGCACGCACGCACGCACGCACGCACGCACGCATGCACAAACGCACGCACACACACACACACACACACACTTTAGACCTAACTGTTAATTGTTATTAAACATATATATATAATACACTCGTGCATTTACGTTGTTACCTACAGATCAAATAAACACACACACACACACACACACACACACACACACAAAACACTTTAGACACATGTTTAAAACTTTATTAAACAAATAATTTACACAGCGAAGGATCCTTCTCCGTGTCTTAGGCTAGGCGTATGTGGCATTTAGTTCTGGCATATATTTTATAGATCAATCGACAGTCAATAGGTGATGTGGTCCACATGGCACCGGCCCCATTTACTTCCCATGATTTTTCTTAGAAACCATGTAAGACTGTGTTGACCTGAAAGCCAAGGTCATTGAAAAATTAATCCCGTTCCGTTTGGATTTGAAACCTCCGACCTTCGGATTTGCAGACGAGCGTCTAGCGGCTACACAACGGCCGCTTCCAAATAATTAACATAGAAGAGTTGAAGCAGAATGAATGAGTTAATTTATTTAAATAACCAGTGCAGTACATAGCGAAAGTTAATTATGTAATTCGTCGTAATTATGCCTAATAAATAACGCTATTAAATTATTTATGATAATAGTGTACTCATTAATAAAACTGACGCTGCCCAGAAAGGTCAGTATAATAGTTGACCAACAAGCAACCCGTAAACAGGGGCGTATAATGAGCAACAGATATGGCAATAGATTGCCAGTTAACATCATAAACACTCAATAAACGTTAATAATTAAGCTGCCCCCATAAAGGCCATACACGAGATTATTTCTAGGTTATGACTCCTTGTTAATAAACAGGCCAAGTTTATCTTTGTGGCTCACGGCGAGCTATTGAGAGCATGAGTGGATCAATCAATCCGACGCCGCCTCCGCAAGGAAGGTTGGCATAGATCTTTATCACTTCAGTAATGTGGGTCCCAGGGCACATTTTTTATGGGAAAGGGGGGGGGGGGGGTATAGACCCACTGCCTCTTATCAAACGTGTTGTAAAATGGTACAAATATAGGGTTTGGTGAAACCGGATGTGTTGGATCAGAAAAACCAGATATTATGACCTAGTTGTAAATCATAGTGCAACGTGCCAGCTGCCTATTTTTTTAAGGGCAAACGCATAGATAATAATATTAATAATAATAATAATAATAATTATAATAATAATAATAATAATAATAATAATAATAATAACAGTAATAATAATAATAATAATAAAAAAGTAGAAAAAGAAGAAAAGTTCCAACATTCTCCGTCTCTCACCCAGTTTGTGCACTCTCATAGACTGCTGTTCATTCATGCTTTAAAGGCTGTGGTTGTTTTAAGAGCAGTCTGTCTTTTAATAAGTTATGATGCAACAACGGTCTTGAAATAACATCTTCTAACTGGGAAAAACGCTTCCTTAACTGGCGGGTTTTGATAGTCACACTCACCATCGTCATGGGCTGTGAGTCCTGGTTCCGTTGGGATTTGAACCTCTGACCTTCAGATTTGCAGACGAGCGTTTAGCGGCTACACAACGGAGGCTTCCAAAAAATTAACATAGAAGAGTTAACATAAAGCGGAGTTAAAGAATTAATTTGTTTAAATAATCAGTGGGGCTGAGTTGTCTCGAGGTATGATGTCCGCCTCGAGTGCTGGAGGTCCTGGGTGCAAGCCCCAGTGAAGACTGGGATTTTTCCACATGGACTTCTAGTAATTTCGCCTGGCTTCTGGGTAGTAAGATCGGACGCCCGTGTTTATTGTTGCTCACGTATAAAATCAATTGACAGTTGGATATCGAAAAGAGTAGCCTAACGGCGATTTTTTTAGGATTTAAAAATTTACCCAAAGTATTTTAGGGTCCTCGCTGGTGCAACAGAGTTCGTGCACTGCGCTGTTATACTTCAGACTCAGGCTTGAGTTAGAAGTATAACGGAGCACTTGTGGGTTACAACAGTGTGCCATGATGTTGATCCATCGAATAAATATAAACAAAAACGTGTCAGTCCTTTGCCTACTCATAACACTATCGTCTGGAAAGACGGAAAGGTGAGAACATCAACAGTATGTCTTTTAAAGTGAACAAAATATTTCACTTGCGTTTAACAACTCAAAACTCTTTTTTTTTTTTTTTTTTTTTTTTTTTGAGTCTCTGCCAAACCTCAACAGGCGTTGTTTTTTTTTAATCGCGTTGACCGACTGTAGAACTAAAATAGAAAGATCTGCCAGTTTGTCGATTTCTGGTCTTTTGTATTGTTCCAGGTTTTGAGTTTAGCACACAGGTGTGCTGTTTTACAGATCTGGTTTTTGTGTGTGCAGACGTTTGGTTCCGCATCTGTGAGATAACTGCACTAATTAGTCGCCTTTGGCGACATTTTTGTTATGGTGCAGTTGGTATGTTTTATCCTGTCGTATGCGTGTGGATCTTGAACAACGAGCAGACGAGCTGATAAAACAGTTATTTGCAGTGGTTTTGATTAGAAGACTGCAAAGAAAATCAGACCACGAGGCAGACCAAGAAGACGATGGGGAGATAATGTCCAGAGGGACCTGCAAACACTTGGTGTTACCAACTGAGAAGGAAAGGCCAACAAGATATTTGAGTGGATGCGGGTGATATCTGCAGCAATGAACATCAAAGGCTTGGAATGCTGAAGAAGAAGAGGAGGAGAAATAGAGCTGACTCGAAAATTGAGGTGACGACGGTGAAGATTGATGGAAACAGAAAAAGAGGAAGGCATAAAGATAACTACCTGGAGGAATTAGTCCTTTGGATGGGGCGAGACAGAAGCACTGACCTGACAAATGATTCTGGAGATTGTGTGAGATGCCGACCCTAACCCACGACCTTCCGATCCGCAGACGAGCGTCTAGCCGCCACACCACAGCGGCTCCCTACTTTTTTTCTTAAGATGCTATAGTTATACCCAAATATGTCTTAATGCCTTCGTATATTTCCAGTGGTCGCAGCTCTACGAGAACTGAACCCAAACGCAGTCATAGGTCCCTACCATTGGCCCTACGCTGTGGCCACAGAGCACTTGAGGATTCCCTACTTCGTCACGTCTCAAATTCCCATCGACCAGAAAGTGTCGCCGTTTCTCATTCAACTGTTCCCAGATCCACATGTGTTCGCCAAAGCCACTGAAGACATGTTGAAGTATTACAAGCTGGAACGTGTGGTGGTATTTCATGATTCGCTATCAGGTAGGTAAACATTGATCTAATATCAATTTAAAGGTGAAATGGAAGGTACAGGTTTAAAGATCGACTTCAATGCATCAGCTTTTATCCCATATAGCTCAGTTTTTCTCCACAGAGCAACTAGAAGAAGAAGAAGAAGAAGAAGAAGAAGAAGAAGAAGAAGAAGAAGAAGAAGAAGAAGAAGAAGAAGAAGAAGAAGAAGAAGAAGAAGAAGAAAAAAGAAGAAGATGATGATGATGACGATGATGATGAAGATTTTAACCATTTGAGCTCGAAAATTTTTAAGGGAGCTTAGCCACCCCTTCCCTCCAATTAAAAAAATGTTGAAAAGGGGAGGGGAGGGGTGAGGGTGGCAAAATTGTAAAACTTCTCCCCTCCCTTCCTCCACGTCACCCCAACCACATATAAAAGTTATCTTCAGAAGTCGTTGTTAATAAAATTATAACTTTTAATATATATTATTTATCGAATATTATATATTTAATAGTCCTCCAGCAGAATAATCTTATTCAGCCTTGTAAAAGGACTAAGGCCCACTGAGGACCTTTAAGGCAATTTTTAAGGGGGCTGAAACCACCACCGCCCGATCTCCCCCCCCCCCCATATTTTTTTATCGTACCTGCGCCCCTAAAACTATATATGTATTACAACAGGAGAAATCATCCTGGAGCGGCTGTGCCAGCAGCCAGCCATGGAAGTCACCAGCTTCTACGTCAACCGATACACAGTCAGCAGCATCAGAGAGCAGCTCAAGATTGTCCGCAGCAAGTACTACACGACGTTCATCGGCGCCCTCAGTGCTGGCAACATTAAATATCTACTAGAGCAGGTAAGTGTTACCACTCAAAGTAATATGAAATGTAGAAACAAATACTTTTAGTGTTCATTTCTACACTTGGTTAAAAGCAGACACGGAACATGAATGATACAGGTATTGAGGTGGGCTCGTAGGAACAAAATGCCACGTAACGTGCTTCGTAGAAGGGGCACATCAGAAAGGGATTAGAATGAAGGAAGAAATGATTGCACAAAGAGCTGAGCGTCTGAGAAGACACAAATGTTGACAATAATGGTCCGAAATCCCATGTTATAGTTGTGAAAGACTTTTCTTAACGGGGGCAGGTCTTGCTAGTCACACTCGCCATCGCCATGGGCTGTGAGTCCCATGCCTCTTTATAGCGCAAAATAACAGTGTTGTCTGGAAAGACGGAAAGGTGCCAATCCAAGGTAAAAAAAAAAAAGCATAAGTGCTCTTTGTTCCCTTGCAAACTTGTTGGGGTGGAAAGTTTGAGGTTTTGGAGTTGTGATCAAATTGTATCTACCAGTTTAAATGCACATTCGAAGCTGCTTATAAGGGCAGAACTGACAGACGCCTGGAGAAATGAATCGCTGAGCATAGTCCAGTACAGGTGGGGAAAAGCTATTCAAAGTAAAAATCAAAATGAAAATAACAACAAGAACAATAAATTAACAAAGACGACGCAGATGACGCGGTCAGAAAAATGAGAACTTTTCAATTGCTTGCCACCTTTTGACCCACCCCCAGACAAGATGTAAACAAGGCCAGCGCATTTCAAATTTGAACAAGGAAGACACAAACAATAGATTGCACAATTTATTGTCTGGTGCATACTACTGTAACAATTACATAAATGAAACAAATGAATGAATCCTTTAAAATTGAAGTACAAACTTCATGGGCCACTCAAACATCCAAGACCTACAACAGATTGCAACGAACCGCCACGCATGGAGAGTCATGACCTCTGCCCTATGTGCCGCACTCGACACAAGAGGAAAGACTAACTAACTAACTAACTAACTAACTAACTAACTAACTAACTAACTAACTAACTAACTAACTAACTAACTAACTAACTAACTAACTAACTAACTAACTAACTAACTAACTAACTAACTAACTAACTAACTAACTAACTAACTAACTAACTAACTAACTAACTAACTAACTAACTAACTAACTAACTAACTAACTAACTAACTAACTAACTAACTAACTAACTAACTAACTAACTAACTAACTAACTAACTAACTAACTAACTAACTAACTAACTAACTAACTAACTAACTTCAAACACACTGAAAAGCAACTGCTTGTTTTAGCAGGCCAGTCGCCTCGTCACAACCATCTCTTTCTGTTTACAAAGTTCAGGACGAGTTAAACGAAAAATGCAGAGGTAGATTCTGCAAACTCCTGTAAAGGATACGCAACTAACTTTAACTCCAAGATCACAACCATGTCTTTCTGTTTACAAAGTTTCGGACGGAGGTAACGAATCGAGGTGGCTTCAAGAAGATTGGTTTACTCCTTGGTAACGGATGGTTGTAATAGTATAATATTTTTGAACATTAGAGCATTTTTGGGAGAAATATTTTGAAATATATTATAAAAAACCTGCATTTATAATATATTAAACAAAAACACTTGTTTAAAAAAAAAAAAAGACAATCTTGATGCTCCTGTAGAATGTGAACCCTAAGCTGTACCTTAATTAACTTAAACCTAAATCAGACAATTCTCTCTGTCCGATACACTTTCTTCCATTATATTCTCTTCTTTATAACTACATGTATGCGTAAATCTTTCTGTATTCCCAGTTCATCTTTATTTTCCTTCTTTACATTGCTTTTCTTTGTACCGATTTTCAGTATACTCACTTTCTCTATGCTCTGTCCCCTCTACCGCGTTTCTCCTTTTGTTGTATACTTCCTTCCTCTATCATTTCTTCCATTTAATTGACCAATTATCACAGGATTTTCATTTTGTGCCATTAATCCATGTCATTGGAGGTTAGGAGAAGAATTCTCGCATGCTATATAGAGCCAGTTTTACGTATGGCCGTGAATCCTAAACACTTATTAAGCAAGCCAAACAAATTAGAGAATCCTCCGAGATGTGGCTTTACATAAAAATCTTTGGAATTCCCTGTACCGCCATAAATGCGAAGGCTCGAAGACAACTTAAGAAAGAGACAGTCATCATTTTTTGGTCTTGAAATGGGAAAAAGGAGACTAGAATATGCTATGACCACTGGACAGATCTATGGAAGAGAGAAGGAGGAAGACAGCGGGAGAAGATTCTTGACAGCTTTCTGTCATGGTATGGAGGGATTTCAACACAGGAACTGATGCACACAGCTGCAGAACGCCAATTGTGGAGAGGCATGATTCGTCCACGCCAGTCGGCAAGGAATTTGATATGATGATGATTATGATGACGTTTTCACATTTCTGTATTCATCAACAATTTTCAGTGTCATTTTTTTCTGAAAAAATGTCGATAGAATAATCTGAAAATTAATCATGGATAGTGGTACCGAGAGCTGACCATGCAGAAGCAATGGCAAACTATAGACCGTAAAAATTTGCCTAAGAAAAAAAAAAAAAAAAAAAAAACTCTGGGGCTGGTTCTGTCATGTTCTGTAAAGAATACGCAATTAAGTGGTGATCTTTTAGTGTGCCAGCATGCGTACTCATAAGCCAGCACAGTAGTGAGATTTCATAATATATCATTATCATCATCATCATCATCTAAATCTTTTATAATTATTATCATTATCATCACCTTCATCATCATTGCCATCATCATCGTAATAATAATCTTTATCTTCATCATCATCTTCCTTATTATCATTAAACACAATTAATAAAATAAGCAACAGAAGTGACATCAAACATACAAACTTCATTCTATGACAGCCACTCTCTGCAGACTTTATAATACATGTTATATTGTCCACACTGTTTGTCCCCAGGCTCTGTCTCTAAGTATGTTTTCTCCACCATACAAATGGCTGTTAGTCAACATGGTAAGTACCCTTTATTCCAGTATCTGGTTCTTTCGTAATATCCTACCCCCAGATGACGTCACAGGACCCTCCAATATTTTCAGAGGTGGTAAGACTGGGGTTCCCGACTTTCTGATGCATTTAACAACCCCAAGAAATGTAGAACTGGCCCTGACCCCAACCCACCTACGTCACACGAGAGGGTGCAGCCTAGGTCCCACGACTGCATGCAGCCTGTCACCCCTTTAAATATTAGACTACCCCGTGACCTGTGGATTTCCCCTATTTGTGGTAGGATATTTAAGAAAGCACCCAGCAGGTTCTTTCGTAATATTCAAAGCACCCGGTATCTATTCCAGTCCTGTTAGCTTCGCTTGGTTATGTCCCCCCTCCCCCTTTTTTTCTTCTTCCAGTAAGCAAGGCAAAGGGTCAATTTCACCTGAACAGTCAGACTTGTGTAGGGTCATAATTACAATGAGCCGATAATGCAGAGACTGGCCAGCAGGTGCCACGGGGGTGGAAATTCAGCAGTTAATTTAAGATAATGCTCGCTCAGAGGATTAGATTATTCACACAGACGGTTCAGTGTCAAGAGGCGAAATAAGTGCTTGGGGTTTCCTAGTAAAAGTTATTGGTGGACTTTTGGTGCAGGAGAGCCTAGCATATGATACTACAACACCAAGCTTAAGAATGGAGGTGGAGGCAGTCACTGCAGCTTTCCGCTGGTTAGAGAACACGACACACACACACTTACATCGTGATTGTAACTGACTCAGAAAGCATGCCGAGGAAGGTCAGGACAGACATGCTTCGTGCAGAGTGGCATGCTTCACTGCGGAGGACATGGTTGAGGAGTATTGTCTGGATTTTTTCACCTGGGCACGCCGGTGTGTTGGAAAATAAACAGACTGGATGGCTCTGCACAACTTGGTGGAATACTGATGCAGGATAAGGCAGACATGGTTAGTGCCTTGTGGGAGAGCGTGTACAGTTCGGAGGAGCAGAAGGATCACCACAGGCTGATGAGATTGATGCAGGGGGGAGTGACGAGAGGCTCAGAGGAAAGGCAAGACGGACGTTTAATCAGAATGCTGCTGGCACCATTAGTATCGGAACTCTTCACTGCCTGCTGAAGATGGGGACGGAGCACTTATAGGAATGCCCCGAGTGCTGTGATGTCGGTTCTTGAACGT